TGGGTTTAAATAGAGGCGACCGTCGGGGACGGATTCATTCAGCTAGTGAAGTCAGCTAAGAGCGTCCAGTGAAATGCGCCGGAATAGTTTCTGTACAGAATCGTTGCAATAGTTACCAGTTAAAGAAATAAATCGTTGAGTTTTACCTACGCCCGATTAATTATTCGCCCGTCAAACGTAACAATATCAAAATAGAATAGAATATCTATCTCTACAACATAAATAGTTATTTTATTTCGCTATGTACAAACTCTTCAACCGTATATGAAACGATGCTCAATAAAAATGTCTTCAGTTTTTTGTCTGTAGAAGCTTTTGCATGAAAATTGGCCTACTATATCATTTTGACCGCTTGGTGAGTTTCTATTGCCTTTATTCTTCGTATCCTAAATATATAAAGCCGTTACAAATTTGTTCGCCACTTCACAGTAGACAGCTAGTTTATAGTACCAATTTGTTAAAATCTATTTAGATGGCCGTTAGTTTGACCGAGCACGAGAGGCATAAAAATGTGTGAACGAGATGATAACTTATCTAAGTATACATATTTATCATTAACAAAAATATGGGAGAAGTACATATTACTTCTCGCTTCTTTAAAATGAACGATAGTGACAACATTATAAAAACAATTTCAAACATTATCAGTAAAGAAAAATTGAAAAGTATACACTAGTGAATTAAGAGAGGCTCTCGAGACTCAGAGATCTTCTAGGTTTCTAATACATAGATTTGATACTGTAGGTGTTTCTGTAGGAGTATTCAAAGTTGACACCTCAAAGGATGATGATTTTTGTAGAACTTTGAGTAGTAACGCGATGTTGTCATCGTGTATAGTCTTGGTTCGCCGAGACCTAATTACACTATTACTTATGTAATTCTTACTGTTGTAACAGTATTCGATGAAGGAATTTGAACCTTTGGGAATAAATTTATCAATGTGCAGTGACTCGGTACAGTTGAGAGAGTATCTACAACAACAACAACAACAACAAACGAAGAATAACGTCAATTAGAGAACCCCAAAAATTATAATGTGTTCATAAGAATGATTTGTTCATTTCGCCATGAAGTTCTTCAAACTATGACAGCTCATCTAGATTCAGATTATTTAACTATAGAGGTTTCATATCGGTGGTTTTCAAAAGTTGTTGTTCTTTGATAATTCGTTGATAATGTCGACTGAGGGAATAAAATTCGGAAAATTCGGAAAATGGCAGTTCCTTAAAAATTGACATCAACAATTCGATTCTTGCTTGGGTCGCATAAAATCGTGGCTGGACTAATGGGTGAAAGAACATGCAGCCATTGGTTTGACCATATGGCAAATTTCGACTTCAGCCTTCATTCCTTCATAGAATGAAATTAAGGTTTTCTGTACGCAAGTGAACTTCACAAATCGGACGTTGAGAAGTTAAGTAGAAGCTTGGTTGTGGACACATCCAGTGAGATTCAAACAGTTTAAGACATGCAGAAATATCCCCCAAATGACCACAATCATCTAGGTAATAATCATTGATAAATACAAGCTTTATTGATCAAAATAGAAAAATATGTTTTTTTCTGCAGTAGGAATAGCAAGAGGAGTTAATTTGTAAAATCTTAAACTCTCTTCGTGAACCAGAGGAATTTGAATCACAAATTTTAAATTCAAATAGGATTGAAAGTTGGCAGAATGAAACATATGTATATAAAAATGTACAGTCATCAATTGGAACAGGAGATTGTAAAACTTTAAGCGATGTAAGGTGTGTTTGAACTTTTTTCGGGTCAATAATTGATGGATATAAAACACTTTGTTTAACGAACAGGACCGGAAGGATTAGTGCATCATATTCTTCATTTAATTCTGTGTTCAACCTTGAGATAGCACTGCTCCTATAGCAAAATTCAAAGTATCTGTGGTCACAGTAAAAGATCTGGAAAAGTAAAAGAAAGTTCCTGGTCAGTTCCTCAAATGAAAGCAACGTCTTTCATTAAAAGTGATGTTAAAGGTAGGTATTATTCGGCACGAATTTATCAGGGTTAAGTTTGACTTCATTTTCCGTTATTACATAACCCTAATAATAATAAGAAATTTCCTTGTGTAGGAATTCGCATTTATTGGTTGCAGCTTTAAGTTATTTAAACGTAGTCGATCGAAAACACTCTTTAATTTGATTTGATGTTCTTGTAATGATAAAACATAAACGATTGCATCATCCATACATTCCGTACCTTGTAAACTAATCAGAACTGCATTCATTAATGTGCTAGAAGTGGCAGGTAAATTTATTCAGGTAAATCGAAAGACATTCGCAAGTAATCAAAATGAACATTTGGTGTTGAAAAAGCAGTATTTTCAATGTCCTGAAGCTGTGCCAAAATTTGGTTGAAACCAAATGCTAGATCCAAGGTGGTAAAATGCTTAGTATGATCTAAATGATGGAGTATGAATTCTATTTGTGACAAAGGTTGAAAATCTATCTATAATCAATAACTATTCGCCATTTATTTACGTTTACTAGAGAAATTTTTTTTCTTTTCAGTTACCCAAAGTGAAGAACTATACGGACGTATTGATGGTTTCATGATTTTTTGTTGAAGCATTTTTTGCATTTGACTATCAACCTCTGCTTCATGAATCTTTGGAAAGCGATAAATTTTAGAAAATATTGGAGTACAAACTATTGCCTTAATTTCATGACACAAAGTCGTGGTGTAAGTTAAACTAGCGCCAGGTAAATGAGACACGTTGCTATAAGATTGACATAAGCATACGAGGGATTCTTTTTCTTCTGGGTTGAAATGATCAATTGAAGCTGATGCATTGTTATTATCATGAGATGTTAAGTGGCAGATAATTTGCAGAAGGAATATCATCTAAATACAAATTAATATATTCGATTCGTATAAACTCAGTAAAAGTATTTACTTTTAAGATAGCTTTAACAAGCAAGACACCTTAGCAGATAGGAATTTCGGAAGTAAAACCACGACCAACGTGGAGTTTTTGAACGTGGAGGTAAATAAGAACATAAGTCATCGTTTGGATTCAAATTTCAATTTATATTTATTGGAAATGGTAGGTATTCAGTGGTTACATTAACATTATCAACGTCAATGTTTGCCTTTGGTTCGGTCAGAAGAGAATCATTACCAATTAATACATCGAATGACATGTCAGTAGTCTCTTCTTGCACAATATGAATATAAATGCCGAATTGATGACTGTTTATGCTAGATGTTAAATTAACGCCTAAAGTTTCAACAGGTAAATTTATGCAAAAACCGTTCAAAACCACAGTGTCATCTGGACTATTTAGACTAGTTTGTTTAAGCTTCTGGGTTTTAATTAAGGTAATTTTAGGCACCAATGTCGATTAAGAAGTTAAAACAAATAATATCCTGTTTACTTTCATGTGGAAAAATTATATATATATATATATATATAGGAATTTTTTGATAACTGAACATCGATAACTTCGCGATTCGATTTATTCTGGGATTCTTGTAATCGCGTATGAATATTTGAACTCGAGTAAATGAACTGTCATTTGTTTGCAAATGTAGGGAGATTTGGTCTTTAGAATTGATCAAAATTTTTGATGCCGTTTAGGTGATCCATTGATACGACGAACACTTAAGATCTTTGCCAGAACTTCCCATGATTTGCTAATTTTTTCTGTTGATTATTATACTCACTCTTCTTTTCTACACTTTTGAAATAAACATCCCGTTTGTTTACAATAATCACAAAATTTTGAATATTTGCTTTGATTAAGATTATTTGAATCAAAAATCTTCTTGATCGTTATCAAAGTTAACATTATTAGATGTATTTTTTAATCTCTTGCACCAATCTTTATAAAGTCACCCGATTTATGAGATTAACTACAACTTTTGTTATAATTTTTAAATTCATTATCAGAATTTTTCATTTGCAAAGAAATGTCGCCAATTGTTTCGTTTCTACGCATTATATGAGTTGTATGTTTAAAAGGTATTAACTTCAGAAATCACGTTTGCAAGTCATATACCCTAGTATAAATATAACATAACATAACTGATTCATATTTTTGTTGAAATCTTTACCGTCTGAAAATGGAGAAATGAAAACTTATATAATTCGTCCCATGTGTTTAATTCTTTTTCCCAGAGTTGTGTACGAGCAAGTTTTAAAGAAAAATTTGTCATTTTGGTTTGATTAGAAGAATATGATGGTTTTAATGACAGCAAACAGCCAATAAAAAGAATATTTCCTCTTACTCTTCCTCTGATTATTAAACTAGAATTCATACTGTCTTTGTCAGACAAAAAATTTATTTTATCCCACTGCTGACACCACTATGTTAACAACGTCTGTCCTTAATGCTGTTTTAATTGAAACCAAATTTCAGTTTGACTATCTAATGAATAAATTCAACTATACGTGTACGTCGTTATGACGAAATTGTTGCCCGAATATAATATGACAATGTTACGGTTTTTATGGACTCGATTTACAAAGAAAATTTTTATCGATCAGTAAATAGAAACAAGACATGGTACCGAGTACGAGATGCATGAAATTGCGTGAACAACATGATATTGTTACGAAATAAACCGAAACTCCGCCTCGGTATGACGCCTATTGGCCGTCGAGAACTCTCTGGTTTTACGCCAATGATGAATCATCCTCAATGCGACTGAGCGACGGAGCGCTAAAGAAACGCCTGGAAACGGAAGTTGCAAATGGGGGTTCCGGAGAATTCTAGAAGCGGTGACGTAGGGTTTCGAGAAGGACCACGTGCTGTTTAAATAGAGTCCACCTTTGGGAAATTATTCAGCTAGATGAGTCAAGAGAAGTTACGCCGGAATTTTAATTCGCTCGTTCAACGTAAATATATATTTGATCCAAATACAGATATTAAAGATGAATGAGAATTGAAATTAACACAAATGTGGGATAGGTACATAACACTTTACGAAACAAACATTTTAACAATAAAACTATACTAGAGAAATTTGTTTATCTCGACTATGTTGTCATACACCTTCCCTATTTACGAACCCTTCTTCTGCTGTAAATTATATATGACCGACATAGCAGAAAAAATAGCTTTCAAAACCTAAAATCAAAGATTTATTTCGTCACTGCAACCCCAAATCGTACCTTTAATCCCAGCTGATAGTTGAGCGAAATGTTTTCAGAGTACTTAATCTTGAACTTTCGCTTCGCATTCATCAGAAAAAATAAGTAATTTTTTTTGTTTTTTAAGTTCCAGTGATACCACTCGACTTCGTTCAGAACTTCATAGATTTCCTCTGACTGCAAATTCGGGTTTGGTAAAGTACCACAACTAGCTTACAACGTACCAAATCTTCAATTCCTTGTCCACCGATTGCAAACCCTAGCAGCGTAGCAGACGTCATGACGGCTGTAGCTGCTATGCGAACATACTGGTCGGACAAAGAACCTTCAAACTACAATTTTAATTAGAAATTTAACGTTAACACAAGAATTACCGCAAAAAAGACTAGAATAACGCTAGCCATTACGCAAATACCGATGACTTGAAATGGCAATACGTACACTTGCGTTAGTGCCAAGGGTCTCAATGTGTTTCTGAAAAACTCGTTCATTTTATCTTCAAAATTTATAATTATCTTACTCAGTGAACTGGACGTGGCGTTTCACGCAAAACATCAGTTCATTTTCGATCTCCTGGTGATACTCCACGTTACTCAAACTTATGTACTCTAAGTGCGCGTACTTGGTGTTAATATTTCGCAGGCAATGTTTCAGCATAAGTTTTTGTAGGTTGAGGTGGCCATTGTAATATAAAATCGTAAATCCAGGCGTACTGATAGCCATGTAGATCATCACAAAAATCATAGCTTTTATACACCACACGATAAAATGTTCCCATTGCGGAAAATAGAGTTCTATTATTTTGAAAAGGAAAATAAGATCCTTGTCTCTGGGCGTTGGTACAATGTAGGTTACCGTAGCTGTAAAACCTAGAACTGTGGTCGTGCACATGTACACCGTAATGTAAATCCAAGTTTGCTTCACTTTTGCTTTAATTTCTTCTGTGGCTTCTTCGATTTTCCAGACTTGGATATGGTGTATATATGTACTGACTATGTTGGTGGTATATGCTTGACAGTAAATACATACCAGCATCTGCAAAATAACATAAATGATTTATTGCATTTTTCGAATTTTGTTAGGCACATATACAACAATGATGTAAATAGGCTCGTACTGGACGAAATATTGTAATTCGAAATTTTTTAAAAAGAAATAGCCTTGGAGGAGAATCGAAGGCGACAGAATCACAGTTAATGCCAAGGGACAATATTCCATGATTCTAAACTCAAAAATCTTCACCGTGAAGAAAAGACATATGTCGATATAGTTTTTTACTGAAAGTAATTCGGTACAAAATTGAGTAAATTAATAAGAAAACTTACCTTCCATCATTGTTTCGTGACTGAGGCCATACTCAACGGTCGTATTTAACAACGATATCGACAACAAATAAAACGTTTTCGTAATTGCTAAGAGATAATCGATAAACAAATAGCCCCTTTTTTAGACTACTAAGAAAATCAACTTCCACGTACTTAGAATTATCTTGTGTTTATTATCGTTAATGTTCTTCAATAGTGGAATTACTAATCCAGACGAGGATTGTTTCGTATATTTTGAAAATTTGATATCTACTTTTGAAACAAACTTAATGAATAAAAATTCTAATTTAATTAAAGCATTTGAATATTTTCAAAATGTAACCAGCACTAACTCAAATTTTTGCAGACAAAAGTTTTATATTTGGTATATACCAGAAACATAACCCGATACAAAAAAAAAAACTCTTCTGGAAATTTCAGTAAATATTAAACACTTTCTAACTTATGCAAATTATTATTGCAGATATATTATCGGGGCTAAAAAATCTCGGACGTTCGGACGTCGATGTCAGTTCACTGTCAAAAAATGGAAAACACTCTTAAAGTATTATAAAATTCGAAAAAATTTTGAGGTCTTTAACAATTAATTTAAGCAAGAAAAATACGAAATATCATTTCCAACTTTTAACAAATGTTAATACTTAAAACCCCATACAAAAACGATTAACTCTAAATTCTGAGATTGGTTAAGAGTCGTTGTCGACACGCTATTTCCACCTTCGCGCGAGCAGAATAGATTCCTGCACCAACTGTGTTACAACCTGATGAGCTTGAAATTGCTGACGTGATTGTTATAAAAAAAATTGCATTGAAATCAGTTTCTCTGTTTGAGAACTACGTGCCACAGACAGAAACGCAGACAAAGGGATCAAAGTTGTAAGACCCTTTTTTACGTCGGGGGTTAAAATTTCATTAATAAAACCATTTTCAAGAAGTGTACCTACCTACATTCTGAAAATATACTAATAATTTTATTAAATTTTGTAACATTATCAAAAAACTGGTAGAAGTTTATTTCAACAGAACTTCCTTCTTCCTTGAAGTACAATAAAACAAATCCAGTTTTTTCGAAAAATTATAAAATTTGATTATGCGAGTTTAATTTTTTTATGAGAACCCTTATAAGTTAAAAGAAAGACATGTATGTTCCAAACGAATTTTCCACTAACAAAATTTTCTGATGACGTCATCAATATTTTTGCAAGGACACGTATATAAATATTTGGGTAGGTACAGTATAATATTAATGATAACAATTTACCAAATTTTTGCGCAAATGAAGTGAGCCGTTCCTGATTTAATCAATAAAATAAATTGACCCGTTCATAAACTTTTATGAATCACCCTGTATAAACAATTCAAAAACTTTTAATGCAATGATTAATCACAAGTAGGGACTTATCATACTTTGCACATTTTCGATTCAGCCACATTTTTGAGGAGGAATAAACAAATATATTTTGATTAAAAATTTACCATACTTACGATAACTTTAAAACGTCTGCAAGATTTCAAAGCATTCGATTCTGCAGTTCCTGATTTAATCTATAAAATAAATTGACTCATTCATAAATTTTGAGTCATAATATTTTGCATATTTCAGAGAGAATTTGATTTATTTGGCAAAATTTTGAGATGACGTCATCAATTTTTTGGAAGGGGATAAACAAATAGATTTTGATTAAGGATTACCATGATTCCGATAACCTCAAAAAGTTTGCATAATAGTGTTATAAAATTTTGAACTTTTTTCAAAAAATCTGGATGTCTATGATGAAAACTCGACACGGATTCATACACCACAAGTGTAGGAGTATCTTATTTTATAAAATTTAAAAAAATACTATTGTCAATTTTGGAGATGACGTGATCCCATCGGTGGTGGGGATGGTAAACCAAGTTTTGGTTAGCATATTACCATTTACATGATGTTTCTAACATACATACAACATTTGACCATTGTCGGTCCAGCATTTTCTGAGATTCTTTCCAATAGATATCCGGACAAACGGCAGAGAGAGAAAGACGGAAACGGAAAACCTATTTCTTCGTACTCTAGGGGCCATGAAAAGTCTAGGAAACATAAAAATAGAGAATCGGCCGATGGATTCGATTACAATATTTCTTCAGCTTACGCTCGGGAAGTAAAAACAGAATACGTGTATAAAAAAACTTAAAAAAATTCTTACTTAAGTAAGATCGGGACGATCAGCGATCACTACGACGCAATCGAAGCCGAGGTCCAGGTGCATCGCCCAGCCCACTTTTCAGACAATGAGGAATACAAGAAGCTGGACCAAGAAAGGAACTCGACTGTCATCAGGGTTTTGTCAGGGTTCCAGGTCGACTGAGGGTGAAAGGAAGAGGACGAAAAAGCCAGTTGAAAAAACAACTTCGGACGAATCTAGATACCAACAACGTCATTCGTTTAATGGACAATCGTGGGATCTTTGACTCGAGGGGAAGTGTTGGAACGTCATCTACATTTAAGACTGCGAATCACGGGGGTTATAAATTTGTATACATTAGTAAACCACAATAAAGGACAGTTTTGAACGATTTGGCGTTGGAATTGAATAGATAAATTTTAGTTACCGTTTTACCATATACACAGTAATAATAACAGGCTTATGGTCAGACAGAAAACAATTTTAAACCCGAAACGAATTTCAAATTTTAGTTTTCTTGTGTACAACGGTTCTAACTAAATAATAACCTTTGCTTGCAAGTGTTTAAACTTTTATTAAATCATATGAAATCATATATACAAATAATCATTTTTCTCTGAATTAAATTATTATTAAAGGGAAGTGCTCTAAGCATAGATTTTAATAAATTACCACATAATTGTTATAAGAACACCCAATAGTAGCTTCAACATATGATAAATAAAAATAATACGTCAATATTTCCACATGTCTGTTTATCGAATTTTCGTAATGATTGAAAGTTTGCTAAATATCATTTGGTAAAAACTTATTTCAAAAGAAAAGAAACTAGGACAAAATTCTTTGGTATACATCATATTCAACCTAATTATTCGCCACTCTTTCAAATTCCACTTAAAACATTTCACACAACAAACTGAATTACACAGTGCATGCCCTATATATACATACAAATACGAATTTGTCGATACACACGGATGCAAACAAAACAAAGTTGCAGGATATTTTAATATAATTTTCCAGATCACTAAACGCAACGTTGCTCGTTTGTTAAATCCAATTGACTCATGTTTTTTTCCAGTAAAGCTAAACTGTACAACCGATTGCAGCAATTCAGATTAATAGCAATCAGCAGTTGTTCCCATCCATTACAATCGGTACAACAATCGCTTCCGTGAAATAATATTTGATTAAAAGATAATGGACGCGGTGTAAACAGCTCTTAATGTGCCACATTTGCTTCAACAAGAAACCCGACCAACACACACACACCTTTTTTAGTTTTCTCATTAATTCCACAACGTTATTAGAGAGAAGTGCTAACAAAAACAAAATCCGAGCTCACATATACCACAGTCATTCCAGTCCGCCCCAAAAGTACACCTTTGAATAGATTTATTAGTTGGTAAGGTTGTGACACGAATTTTTTCAAATCCTGTACACATACAAGGATTTAATACTGATACCAAAGCATTACGCATAAAACCATTTTTTTTATTTCATTTTTATAATGCTTATGCCAGTCAACTAGCATACTTACTTATCTACAAGAATCTTATATTTTTTTAATTTCTTCCCCTATCTTGACTTTTATTTTCTAGTATTCCCTCCAAAATTTTTTCGCCATTCACCTTAACATAATTTTTCTTTTTTCCGCACAATATCCAGTGCTTTGGTTTTCTGCATTTTCTTATGTGTTGCACATTTTTCATAGTTCTTCTGAATTACTTACTATTTCACCTGCTACTGTCATTTTTAACTTTAATAAGACAGTTTATAAATTATTTATATTCCATTCAATTCCTAAACATCAAAGAAATTAATGACCTAATATGTAGTATAATCGGTAGCATAAGACCATGCATTTTGAATAGGTACCATTTATTTACAACTTTTTGACCTAGAATTAATAATAATAAATATGGGTGGAAAAATTTAATAACTATGGGAAAATTTGCAG